ACCTTCTGAGGTTTGTCTCCCTTCCTTTTAACAAGCAGCACAGTTGATAATTAACTCCTTTAACACAAAGTTCACATGAGTTACAAATTGAAGTTGAAAAGTAAATATATATATATAGATATTTGAGGCTTGAACTCAGGGGCTGAACACTGTCCCTGAGCCTCTCTGTGCTCAAGGCTTACCCTCTACCACTTGCGCCACAGCACAGCACCACTTCTGGCTTTTTCTGTTGATGTAGTACTGAGGGATCAAACCCAGGGCTTCCTGTATGCTAGGCAAGCCCTCTACCACTAAGCCACATTCCCAGTCCCCATAAGCTTTACACCATTGTGACAGTTTTCATGCATTACAATGAGATTACTTTGGACATGTTCACACACATACACACGCACGTACTTGTGCACAAAGTTTTAAGGCACTCCTAGGTTTTTTAAAAAAAGAAAATTGGCCATCACTTTAGAACTTTAGGTCAACACTAGAAAAACAGGCAACACCGAACAAAATAACGAGAACAGAAAACCTGTGAGACAATTTTGGTAAAGCTCAGTGGGAGAGTGGTCACATGAAAACCTACCACTTGGCCTTTGTCTCTTCCAAGGTAGTTATCAAGCTCCAGGGCCTGCAGAGAATTGGGAGAGGGAGGGGCTCCTATAGCCACTTCCTAGAGGAGATTTACCTCAAGGAAGAAATAAAAAAATCCAGGTTCTGAAGTGAGTAGACTCAGGAAAGAGAAAAGGAGCAGATTAGTGTCTGAGTCCTAAAGACAAAAAAAAGGGTAGTTTGTTTTGGATATGCTGTCTGTCTAACTGCTCCCATTATGGGATTTGGGGAGTGGGAAAAGGAGAGAAAAGTAAGAGAGAAATCTGGCCCTAGTGTGTTTGCTGGCTAGCCACTGTCAGTGATGGAGTTCAAGCAAGGCTGTTAGCTTGTGGCTGTGACTACATTTACAAGACAAGAAAGTCCCTTTACCTTTGGAGATTTTTCAGTTAGGTCCAGAGTGGAATGTCCTGCTTGGAGTGATGAAGACTTTCACTGAGCCTAGGTCTTAGTGATCTGCCTGTGGCCAACAGGTGAGCATGCACACCTGTTTTTTTTGGGTCCGGTCGTGGGCCCTGAACTCTGGGCCTGGGCGCTGTCCCTCAGCTCTTCAGCTCAAGGCTAGCGCTCTACCACTTGAGCCACAGAGCCACTTCCGGCTTTTTTCTTTTTGCTTATGTGGTGCTGAGGAATCAAACCCAGGGCCTCGAGCAGGCAAGGCAAGCGCTCTACCACTGAGCCAACCTCCCAGCCCCTTTGTGTGCATGTTTTGGCCAGTCCTGAGTCTTGAACTCAGGGCCTAGGCATTGTCCCTGAACTTCTTTTGCTCAAGGCTAGCACTCTACCACTTGAGCCACCTTCCCAGCCCCAGGAGTCATTCTTTCAAGACGCTTATGTAATGATGGTAGAGATATGTTTATCGTGTAATAAATCCTTCTTGAATTGGAACAGTTGAGACTTTAAATATACACAAATATTTCCACCAAATGAATGTTCACCTTACATCCAAATAGATTTATGCAGTTAAATGTAAGTGCTATTAGCTGTGTGTTAACTTAAAAACCACATAGAAACCAAAAATATGGAGAGAAAGAGGATAAAAGGAGAAAGGTTGAGGGACAGGAAGATGTAAAAGAGTTGGAAACAAAGCCTATCAACCATTTATTACTAACAGCCCCAATCCATTTAAATGTCAGTCAATTAGACATGTAGGTGGGTAGTTAGACAGGTAGGTAGGTAGTTAAATCTGGTTTGTCATTGTCAGAAAAATGGAGGAGAACAGAAAAGGAACAGACAAGACTTGATTCTTAACAGGTTAGGACTGTTTATTGCCAGCAAGGGGCATAGACCTCTCCATGGGAATGGAGGTATGTGAGGGACTGGACTTCAGAGTGGGCCAATGTGGGTCTAAACAAGTAAGAAGAGCATAAAAAATAGGCTATGGTTTCTTGGGGGCAAGGGTAGTGTCCTTGGCCAGGCTCAGAGTGGAATACTCTACCTGGGATAAGGAGCTTTCAGCTAAGCCAAGGTTGAAATTGAAAATACCCATGCCAGAAGACCACACAGACACAGTCATGTACAGGAAAAGGAGCTTTATCAGAGGGGCTGGCAAGGCCATTTCTCTCAAGGGAGGGGGAGCAAAAATGGCACCTGTCCCTATCCAGGGGGATAATATTGGGGCTAAAAGTGGGAGATTCTCTGCATACAGAGCTAGGTCTGGGTGGAGAGTAGGAATGCTGGCTTATCCTGGAGAAACTGGCTGGACCTTGGGAGTCTTTGTGAAGAGCAGGATGGAGTTTAGGTTTGAGTGGAGGGCATTCCACTAACGCAGCTGGTGTGTGTGTGTGTGCTCTGGGAAGTGAAGTGGGAGGGGCTAAGGACCTGAGATGGAGGGCATGCAAACATTCCCCCCTTTGTTGTTTAGTAAGTATGAGTACCAGGCTGGGAGGTGGTTTCTTCTGAAGCTACTTCCTGCTGTATAAGGGCAAAGTGGTCATGGGTCCCTGGTTTGTTGTTTGGGTACCGTCCAAGAAGTATTTGCTTGACAATTTGATTGGTAAAGGCCCTCATCTTTTCCATGAGAATAGTTATCCAAAACGCAAGGCACAGTTAGTAGAAGGCAAAAAAATTACCGCTAGCAGACCCAAGAGAGGAATAAGCCAACGAGGGATTGATTCCCAGAAGGGGCTACTATAAGATTTTAGGCAAGGAAAGAACACACAGGAGGAGGTAAGGGTGAAGAAAGGAAAAGTTTAATGGCGTACGCTCCCAGGCGACTCCCTGGTCAGGATCAGAGAGGTCACCCAGAATCTGGTTGTAGCAGGGTTTCTATGGCTAGGGTCAGCAGGAACTTTTAGCATGTAACTTGTTTTTCAAGTTTGAGCAGTTTCAGGCTAGTGCCCCCAAAGAATAATTGGGACAGGTGGTGTACAAGGAAGTGGATTTTCTCAGCTGCCTCTGCTCTCCAGCAGCCTGTCAGCTATCAAAGACCAGAGATTGCCTTCCCCATCTTGGGGACATATTGCATGGTACCTGACCACCCATATCTTAGGATCACAGGAGACTGATGGAAAGGTAGCAGAAATATTTAAAGGTACCAGAGCCAAAGGGAATCGTAGTCTTTTCTGGCAAACTCATCAGGGAAGCCTTGTCTGAGTCATGGCACCAAATGAAAGCACCCATCCCAGAAGACGACACAGACAGTCACATATAGGAGAAGGAGATTTATCAGAGGGGCTGACAAGGCCATCTCCATCATGGGAGGGGGATCAAAAATGGTGTCAGTCCCTATCCAAGGGGATAACATTGGGGCTAGGGATGGGAGGTACACTGTGAGCAAGAAAAATGGTCCCATCCACAGTGAATCAAATTTAGTGGAAGTGCCCTATGACTCAAAGTGGTAAAGCAATAGCTAAGTATGAAAGGGCAGTATGTGCTCAGGACCTGAGTTCAAGCTCCTTGACCAGCAAAAAGAGTCTTTTGGTTATCATAAATAAATAAAGCAAATTAATCCTGAGTCCTTAGCTTAGAAGAAGAGATGAATAGCTCAATGGAGTCCAAAATAGAGCTGGAGTTAGAGAATTGTGCTCTGCTTTCTGGAAATGCAGTGTGGAAGGCAACAAGATCCCTGGGAGGAAAGAGCTATGTGGTGCATGGTGGTAGTCACTTCTCTGGTTGTCTTAAAGAGTTATTCCTATTTAATACCATTAGGAAAATGAAGGAGAAAGAAGAGGAAACAGGCCAGCCTCGATCTTGCACAGGTGAAGGATAGCAATGAGGGACACAACCAGCTCCCGGGAATGGAGGTTGCATAAGGGACTGGATTTGGGGTCCCACTGATAATGGGTCTTGACAAGAAAAGAAAGGAGTAAAAATCAAGCTGTAATTACTCAGGGGCTAGGGATGGATACTTTTGGTTAGGTCCAGAATGGAATGTCCATCCTGGAGTGACTGGAACTTTCCGCCAGGCCTAGGTTGAAATAATCTACCTGCGGACAGGCATGTGGTCAAGCCTGTGCATGTAAACCTGGTGTCTTGCTTGACCTGGGGAAATAAGGAAGGCGTCAGTCCTTCAAATACAAAAGTAGTGAGTAAACTAGCCTCAGAGAAAGAGACGAATAGGTAGTGGATATCTCTCATAGGGAATCTAGTAAGTCAATGTTTAAGGATCAGACCTCTTCTTGTGTCCACCTAAACACTTGGTACTATTTGTGGGATGTTGCTGGCAGAGGGCCTCCAAGAAGGACTGGATTCATTTCTCATTAGCCCCATAGGATGGCAATCTGAAATAGAAAAGAAGTTGTTCTGAAAAAAAAAAGTGCTATTTCAACTGGACGCTGATGATTCACTTCTGTATACTTAGGTCCTTAGGAAGTTGAGATCTGAAGGTCATGGTTTGAAGCCAGCCAGAGAAGACAAATCCATTGCTTCCAATTACCTAGCAAGAAACGAAGTAGAAGTGTGGTTCAAGTGGTAGAGCACCAGTTTTGAACAAAATAGCTAAGTGAGTATGAGGCCCTGAGTTCAAGTTCTAGTACCAGCACAAAAATAGACACAAAAGGGAAAAACAGCAAAGAAGAAGAGAAGAGAAAAAGAGTGATATTTCTTGGGCATCATGGTTAAGATGCATGCCTGCAACTTTAAAAAAAATGTGTAGCCAGAGTTTCATTTGCTTCCTAATTGAATTGAGAGGTTTTTTTTTTTCTTGAAAAGAAACTTTAGACAACTAAAAATAACCATGAGGAAACAATTTGGTCACTTTTGTAATAGTCCTTTAGATAATAATACATGCTTTCTTGGCATGCCTAACGTGTGAGAAGATACTCTTACTACTTGGAGTTAGATTCATGAAAGAAGGAAATTCTGAAGAGCAGAGATTAGCCTCAGAGAATAGTATGGCAGTTAAAGACCTCCTTTCCCATCCACATTTTGCCCTTATGCTTAGTATGAAAACATGGGTAAAATAACTGCAATTTTCATTTATTACAGCTCACTTTTTTTCTTGATTTAAAATATTGTTATTATACAGGCGATATACAGAGGGGTCACAGGTACATACGTCAGATAATGAGTACATTGCTTTTCACATAATTATGGCTCATTTTTATCTATGGCTGTAATTCAGAACATTTTTCATTTTTTTCTCATCAGGGAATGAGATTTTATTTTGAGGATGCGTATTCAAAAAAACTTAGCAATGTGTGAAAACTCGCTCTTGAAGTTCCCTGGACACGATTCAGAGGCTAACTGAGGGAAAGGTTGGATCTTGGGCTGTGAGTGACATGTGCAGTTTGAGGGTGAGAAATTGGGGAAATTGGCTTCAGGAGAAGGAAGAACTTCATTGATGTTCAGTGGAGGGAGTCGGTAGACATTTCCAATTTGTGGCCGATGAAAAGGAAGGTTTCCTTTACCCTCACTTCTTTCTCCTGAGTGACCGTGTAGTGGGCCATGGCCATGGGAACGGTGACCATGGAAACCTTGCCTATGGGGTGGTGGATCACAGGGCTCATGGTCATGGAAATCATCAGAGCCATGAGGATGGTGTCCATGAGGATGGCATCCATGGGGACCGTGCCTGTGGGGACCATGTCCGTGGGGACCATGTCCATGGGGACCATGTCCATGGGGACCGTGCCTGTGGGGACCATGTCCGTGGGGACCATGTCCATGGGGACCGTGTCCGTGGGGACCATGTCCATGGGGACCGTGTCCATGGGGACCATGTCCATGGGGACCATGTCTGTGGGGACCGTGTCCGTGGGGGTGGTGTTCATGAGAATTTTGTTCATGGAGTTTACTGGAACTCTGATTATGAGGGGGTATATGGGTGTCATTGGTGTCAAAAGGAAAGTGATGACATTTTGACCCTCTAGGTGGCCATGGTGGAGGATTTCCTTCTTGAAGTGCTGATCCATTTGAGTTATGGTATTCTTCTGGGGGAGTCAGGTATCCATGTTTATGTGGCCTTGGGGGATGATGATGTTCTCTGGATCCACTGGACTTAAATGAATGTTTGCCAGCATGAGGATGGTTATGCCCACCAAAGTGGTGAGGGTGGCCTGGATGGGGTCCCACATCACTGACATTTGCATGCTCCTGGTAAAGGACAGAGAGGTGAATACCACCATGTAACACAAAAAGAAAAATCAGATGTTTAGTTTGATTAATCAATGGCTCCTAGACTTTTGGATTTCACAAGTCAATTTAAAAAGTAAGATACCGGGGCAAGGAATATGGCTTAGTGGTAGAGTGCTTGTCTAGCATGTACAAGGCCCTGGGTTCGATTCCTTGGTACCACATAAAAAATAAGTACAATTAAAAAGTAAGATACCAAACAGGATCACAAGTTTTATCTGCCTAATGTAATATTTCAAATATATTTTTAAAAAGCTTTCATTATTTTGCAAGAGGAATAACATTTTGACAAGACTCAGGAAGTTGGCTGGCAATGTGGCTTAGTGGTAGAGTGCTTGCCTTGTATTCATGAAGACCTGGGTTCGATTCCTCAATACCACATAAACAGAAAAAGCCAGAAGTGGTGCCATGCCTGGCTCAAGGGGTAGAGTACTGGCCTTGAGCAAAAGAAGCTCAGAGACAGTGCCCAGGCTCTGAGTTCAAGCCCCAGGATAGGCAAAAAAAGAGTCAGGAGGTTAATATCAGAATAAAGATTTATCCTTTGGATGGAATATATATTGCACTATGAAATTTTTTGGGGGGGCCCGGTCATGGGGCCTGAACTCTGGGCCTGGGCTCTGTCCCTCAGCTCTTCAGCTCAAGGCTAGCACTCTACCACTTGAGCTACAGTACCACTTCTGGCTTTTTTCTTTGTGTTTATGTGGTACTGAGGAATCGAATCCAGGGCCTCATGCATGCAAGGCAAGCACTCTACCACTGAGCCACCTTCCCAGCCCCTATGAAAATTTTAATTATGCTGAGTTTTTTCATTTCAACAAAAGCAGGTGAAATTGTAATCTGCAATGATACCTATCTGAAGACTTGCATTTGCTAAACTACTGTCTTATATTGTACACTTCCCATAGAATCCTGAGGCTTACCGATTAAACGTGTGTGTGTGTGTGTGTGTGTGTGTTCTGGGGCTTGAATGAAGGGTCTGGGTACTATGGCTTAGGTTTTCACCCATGACTGCTACTCTACTACTTGAACCACAACTCTGCTTTGTAGCTTTTTTTGGAATAACTAGAGATAAAAATCTCATGGACCTGACTATAAAGTATGATTCTTAGATTTTAGCCAACTGAGTACCATGAGTTATTGGCATGAGCGACTGGCACTCAGCAACATTCCTTATTGCTAAAAGATGATCTTCTAGAAGAACCTCTTCTCTCTCCTTATTCAGACTTTAACCTTTTTTTTTTTTTTGAGATAGAGGCTCTCTATGTAGCTCAGGCTGGTCTCAAACTCACAAGCCTTCTATCTCAGCTTCTTGAGTACTGGGAGTATAGGTGTGCATCACCATGCTCAACAGATTTAATAAAACAAATCTATAGAACCACGTCCATGGTGACAAAGCCTATCTCTTCTCTTTTTTCTGATATTAAAAAACTGAAGAATATCTTTTGCTCACTTATAAAGTAGCATAAAGATTTCTTGGATAGGGGCTGGGAAGGTGGCTCAGTGGTAGAGCAAGCGCTCTACCTGAGGCCCTGGGTTCAATTACTCAGCACCACGTAAGCAAAAAGAAAAAAGCTGGAAGTGGCACTGTGGCTGAAGTGGTAGAGCACTAGCCTTGAGCTGAGGGACAGCACCCAGAACCAGAGTTCAGGCCCCACAGCCAGACCCAAAAGAAAAAAATTTCTTGGATAGATGTAAAATGTTGGTTTGCATCTTATTTTATGTAACTTTGCATGATAAATGTGAGGCAAATTCATTCTCTCCAGCTCCAGATCTACTAATGAAAGCTAAGAAGAAATCTTAGCACTGGAGTTTTGATTGCAAGGATAATTTGACTATTCATGGTTTTACTTTTTCTGTAGCATTTTAGGCTGGGCTGGCTTTGAACCACAGCCTTCAGATTTCAGTCTCTTGAGTAACTAGGATTACACAGTCATAAACAACTTGAGCCTAGCATTTATTTCTCTCAAATCTCACTCCTTCCTAATTTTTGGAAAGAGTTCATTACTTTCTGGTGCCATACTAGTAATTGTACTTCTTTCCCCAGGACTCTGTTCTCTCTCCCTCCTTCCCCACCCCTGCCTCTCGCTGTCTCTCTTCTCACACACATACACTATATACACATGATGTATGTGAACATATTTTTTTTTTTGGGTCCAGTTGTGGGCCTGAACTCTGGGCCTGGGTGCTGTCCCTCAGCTCTTCAGCTCAAGGCTAGCGCTCTACCACTTGAGCCACAGCGCTACTTCCGGCTTTTTTCCTTTTGTTTATGTGGTGCTGAGGAATTGAACCCAGGGCCTCAAGCATGCAAGGCAAGCGCTCTACCACTGAACCACTTTCCCAGCCCATGAACATATTATTTAGTGTGACGTTGTTTGTAAGAAAGAATACTCAAGCTGGGCACCAGTGGCTCATGTTTATAATCCTAGCTACTCAAGGGACTGAGATCTGAGGATCATGATTCAAAGCTAACCCAGGCAGGAATGTCTGTGATACTCTTATCTCCAATAAATGATTCAGGAAAAGCTGGGAGTGGTGCTATGGCTCAAATGGTAGAGTGCTAGCCTTGAACACAAAGAGAGGCTCAGGCTCAGGCCCTGAATTCAAGCCCCAAGATGGGGAAAGGAAGGTAGGAGGAAGGAAGGGAAGGAGGGAGGGAGGGAAGGAAGAAAGAAAGGGAAGGGAAGGGAAGGGAAGGAAGGAAGGGAGGAAGGAAGGGAGGAAGGAAAGGAGGGAGGGAGGGAAGGAGGGAGGGAAGGAGGGAAGGATGGATGGAAGGAAGGAAAAAGAAGGGAAGGAAGGAAGGAAGAAAGAAAGGAAGGAAGGAAGGAAGGAAGGAAGGAAAGAAGGAAGGAAAAGAAAGGGAAGGAAAGAAGAAGGAAAGAAAGAAGAAAGAAAGAAAGAAAGGAAGGAAAGAAGGAAGGAAGGAAAAGAAAGGGAAGGAAGGAAGAAGGAAAGAAAGAAAAAAGAAAGAAAGAAAGGAAGAAAGAAAGAAAGAAAGAAAGAGAAGGAAGGACGGAAGGAAGGAAAGAATACTCAGGTAACTCACCTCAAAGCTGAAGACTTCACAGTTCACATCAAGGTGTTCTGGGGTTTCCAAGTCAGAGGCTTCTACATTATAGGAAAAAACTGTTCTGCAGAAACCAAAGACCTACAAGGGAGAGAGAAGCCTATTACTCTGTGTGTGTGTGTGTGTGTGTGCGCGCACACACACATGTGTGTGCATGTGTGCACGCACGTGCATGCATGCGTGTATTTGTGTATGTATTTTTGCGATGAAGCTTCTTAGCCAGAGTCATGAGCTTCTAGACATTCTGAAAAGGAAATACCATAGGCTGCTGGGGTTCTGTAATGAGCGGTGCTGGTGCACTAGGCTTTCCCATGTGAAGTGAGGAGGAACACTGTGCCATCGCTGCTTTGACCTAGAAAGAAAATGCTTCTACACTGAAGTCCTGGGTTGCCAAGACTGGAGAGAATGTAAAACTTTAACTGATCCCTTGCCAGTGTTGGAAAGAAAGAGCTAGTATGAACATGAGTTTGCATGAACCCTGTCAGTGTATCAGCCTAATATAAAGGCTACAATGGGCTGCCATTCCTGTGTTCCAGAGGCCCCAAATCCATCTGTCAAAGGACAGGAACACAACTGTTCTCAAGAAAAAGAAGTGAACAAAACAAAAACAAAAACTGATCAGGATTGAAGTTCTGAGTGAAATTTCAGAGCCAGACAGACCAATGTTAATCCTGCTTCACCATTTACTAATGGTATGGGTTTAGAGGAGTTATACTAAATTCCTGAAATTCAGCCTTTGCATAGTATGTATAATACTATCTATCCCCAGATTGTGGGGGGGCTTAATTCAATAAGCTAAAGTTGGAAAACATAGCCACAAGCCTTCTCTTCTCTGGCTGTCCCAGTTCTACCATAGTCCTGGATGGAAACAAACCATTCTGCAATGAGGCAGAATTTACTTTTAAACCTCAGAGAATCTTAGACTTGAAATCAGAATTAAAATTCCGTGTTCTAATTTTCTAGCTAAAAGCAGTTAAACCTGTTCCAGAGAGGCAGAGCAGACATTTGCTTTCTCCTTTCTTTCTTTTTTCTTTTTATCTTCTTTCTTTATATTTGTGTCTATCCTGGGGCTTGAACTTAGGGCTTGGGAGCTGTTATGAGCTTTTTTTTCTCTCTCTCTCAAGGCTAGCACTCCACCCTAGAGCCATAGCTCCACTTCCAACTTTTTGGTAGTTAATTGGAGATAAGAGTCTTATGGGCTTTCCTACCAGGGCAGGCTCTGAATTATCATCCTCAGATCTCAGCCTCCTAAGTAGCTAGGATTACAGGTATGAGCCATCAACACCTAGCTTGCTTCTCCCTCTGAGTGAGGTTGTTATTAGGCTCTTTCTAGACAATAGTTTATTAGGCTCTTTCTAGACAATAGTTTATGTAGAGGTATAGTTTCTAAATTGTAAGTCACCATGTAACATGTCAGGGATTGTTAATAAGATCTCCAGTAGGTGTGTGGATCAATTTTAAGTGATTAGAAGAGCAGTCCTGCTGGATTTGGTTTTGAACATTGGCAAGACCTTTCCTCTGCTGGACCTCAGTTATTTCCTCACTGGTAACCAGGTGTCCCTGAAGGTGTCAATGTGAAGGAATCGATGAGAACTGCGTGGCATCTAAGGTGTGCATACGATGCTTAGTCGTTTTAGTAAGCCTTTGATCCTAACAGATTACAAACTCAAATTAAAGTATATCTATATATCTGTATCTACTCTAGATAGATATATATCGATATATCTATCTCTATATATACACATATATGTATACACATATATGTATATAGTGTAAAATTGTATTTATATGATTTGTTGAACTTTTCTGTGCCCAGTTTCCTGATCTGTAAATCAGATATGGAAAGGTAGTTTTACATGGATATTAACTTAGTAACAAACTAAGGTACTAAATGTGTTACTAAGTTAATATCCATGTAAAACAGAAAAGCACCAGCAAGAAGTAAACACTTTTCTAGATGATACTTTGTATTTCACAGGTGTGTGTGTGTGTGTGTGTGTGTGTGTGTGTGCCAGTGCCCGAGCACTGTCCCTTAGCTCTTTTGCTCAGTGCAGTCTACTACTACAGCTGCAGCTCCACTTCCATTTTTTGGTGATTAATTGGAAATAAGAGTATCAAGGACCTTCCTGGACTTACTTTGAACTTCAATCTCAGCTTCCTGGGTAGCTAGGATGCCCTAGCACTCAGCTTTCCTAGCCTTTTTTTTTTTTTTTTGGTTGTGGGGCTTGAACTCTGGGCCTGGGTGTTGTCCCTCAGCTCTTCAGTTCAAGGCGAGCACTCTACTACTTGAGCCACAGCACCACTTCAGGTTTTATGGTGGTTTATTGGAGATAAGTGTCTCACTGACTTTCCTGCCCAGTATTGGAGATAAGCGTCTCACTGACTTTCCTGCCCAGGCTGGCTTTGAACCATGATCTTCAAATCTCAGCCTCCCTGGTAGCTAGGAGTATAGACATGAGCCACCAGCTGTAACCATTTCTTATACTCACATTAGGTTGTCTGGGGAAATGGTGTGTGGAGCAGGTCCTCACAGAGAAGTCCACATAATAATTGGTTCTTTCTCCTCCTCTCTAGAAGAGATGAGATCAACAGAATTTCAGGAGTAGCAAACACATGAAGGAAAAGCAATGTCTGTCTGTACCATCCAATTTATTATAAAGTATTTTGAGATTAATAATCAATGCATGCCATTTTTCTAGTTTCTGACTTAAAAATGTGTCACATAGTGATGCAGGGAATATCATTTCATTAAACAGTTCCACTATCCAGACACGCTCAAATATAATGTAAACCATCATGCTTTCTCTACCTCACCTCTTCTCAGAGGAGTAACTATCTGTCATGTGATGTTTCTCCTTTAGCCTTTTCATACATGTAGAACCACACAGATTTAAGTATTTCATATAAATGGCCTCAGATGGTAATTATTGTTCTATTATCTGATTTTACTCTTAGCTATAGTCTAATGTGTATAGTTCCCAGGTATTCTTTCTTTCTTTTTATTTTTTATTTTTTGTCAGTCATGGGGCTTGAACTCTGGGCCTGGGTGCTGTCCCTGAGCTCTTCAGCTCAAGGTGAGTGCTCTGTCACTAGAGTCACAGTGCCACTTCCAGTTTTCTGGTGGTTAATTAGAGTTAAGAGTCTCACAGACTTTCCTGCCCATGCTGGCTTTGAACTGTGATCCTTAGATCTCAGTCTCCTGAGTAGCTAGGATTATAGGCATGAGCCACTGGTACCTGGCTCCAGATATTCTTTATAGTAACTATGCTGTAAGCATTCCATTGCTTTCATGCACCAGAATCTATTTAGCTTTTCTATTTTCAAACTGGATAGCAAGCATCAACGAGCTACCCTACAAAACACCTCTGGAAGGGAGGGAGGCCCTGGAGTCCTGGGACTGTGAGGCAGGAAACTAGCTCCAGCTGCACCAATGTGTGTGGTGAGGTCCTTTCTCCAAGCCTCCATTTTGTATCAGACATAACAAGGTCAAAGTTAGATGGGTTTAAATAAGTCATATAAGCCTAGTAGCCTCTTGTCTTTCCCTTTAGATTTTCTCCCTCTCTGTGAGATATCCACTCCCTCTTCAATGTCTCTTCCAACTCCTCAAAAATTAAAAATTTGTAAAGACAAGTTCTTTGGACTAGTTTGTACATCTATGAAGCTTCAAAGGAATTTCACTTGTATTGCAGATGAAGAGCGCATGCCATTCAGTTCATGGCTACCCAGTTAGAACCTGGGTCTCTGTCACCAATGGACATGAATGGAGTCTCACCACTCTTGCGACTCTTTCTACTTGGTCCACTCTGAAAGAGGAAAAGTCATGGTTCTGCTTTTGGTACTCATCAAGGGCTTTGTCAGCTTGTTTTCTGTAGACTTCAGTATCTTCAAAGAAATCGATGAGTACAGGACTGTCTTTGTTATTGCTCAGTGCTGAAGCGACTAGAGAGAGAAGATGGTGATGTCATGGATACAAGGTCAGAAATGGCCATATCAATGTCGAGACTTAATACAGCCAGGCAAGCCTTGAGGCTATGGAATGAGATTATCCACAACACATATCAATGTAATATACACATATAACTTGTCTTCAAACCACACAACTAGCACATGATTATTGAGATTTAAGCTCAAGCAAGTCTGACCCCAGAACTGCCTCCACACTGCCTCTTTTAATATTGAATTTATTTAAAGAAATCTAGACACCTAGCAGGGGAAAGTTTCCTCCTAATCTCTCTCAGGACAGTGAATAATAATGGAGATCATGAGGGAATGGATGCTGTCTGATGTACATCATGGTATTATATGATGAATTTCACTATATGACTCGGTTTTATGTTAATCAGAAGGTAATTTACAATTTTACAGATTACCATACCTGAACTTACAGTGCAGTTATAGTCATTCACTTGTAGTTCCTGAGATTCATTTGAGTGTTTTGTAGCTTTTACCTTACATCGTCCAATCACCTGCAAAGAAGTAGATTTTGTGTTATCACATTATGGTCTTCCTCAGGTTGCATATGAAGAATCATACAAAGGAAGCAAAATCATATTGGTGGCTCCTGCCTGTCATGCTAACTATTCAGGAAAATCTAACTATTCTGAAAATCATGGTTTGAGCAGGAAAACCCAAGTGAGAGAAGTGAGGCTTCTATCTCCAATTAATCACCAAAGAGCGGAAAGTGGAGCTATGGCTCAAGTGGTGGTCACCAACCTCGAGCAAAAAAGCTAAAGGACAGTACCCAGGTCCTAAGTTCAAGTCCCAATATGCCCCCCAAATACTCGAACCTATAATGCACTTGGGGTTTCTTTAATCAAATCCTGTCTCAAAGTGCATTTCCTTAGTCTGTTTCTATGTGCCAGCAGCACAGCCCAAGCACTCAAAGCCCTCATAAGCCTAGGGAGAAATTCTTCAAGTGGATCAGATATCCCAAACATTTTCCAGGGTTAAAGCACTAAGACTCCTTGTGTGCAAACCTCTCATGTTTTGTGAAGGAGATGTTAGATGCTGTATCTGTGCTTTGGCCTTTTTGTGTTCTCTACCTGTGGCAGACAAGTTGGTATCTCATATTTCAACATGCACAGCAAGACACGATTTCTCACTGCAACAAATCCCTTTGGCTATCCTTGCTGCTGGAACCCGTCTTCATGGGACACAATTATGAGGTCATACATTATGAGGGCTTTGAAGGACCTTTGAGTCCATCTATTCCAATTCCTCCTATTATTTTATGATTTACACAGATGAGACTGAAATCTAGGAGTGGCTGGTAATTTGAGCAAGGATTCATGCTATGGACCAAAAGTACTTGCTGATTTATCCTGAACTGGATTCTTAGGAATGGCTCTTCAGACATTATTAAGTCAACATTATCTTCATGAATATTAAGGCATACATTGCTGTTACTCTTCTTCTGTGTTAGTTCAGACATGTAGCTCCCCAAGTGAGTAGAGCCGTTGCAAGGTAAGAATAAGAGGAAAAGAAGGGTATCCAGTTACTTACAATATCAGATGGACTTCTTGAAGGTGGGACACAGTCATCCCAGTGTGTCCTGAATAGGACCCAACAGTCAGATTCTTTCACATCTAAGACCAAGTAATAGACAGTTGCAGATCCCTGAGGAATACCAAGGAAGCAACAGGTGAACAGGATGTAGGAGACCAGATTTTTTTGTGTGTGTCAGTCTTGAGGCTTGAACTCAGCCTGGGCACTGTCTCTGAGCATCTTTTGCTCAAGGCTAGCATTCTACCAATTGAGCCACAGTACCACATCTGGATTTTTCTGAGTAGTGTATTAGAGATAAGAGTCTCAAAAGCCGGGGCTGGTGGCTGATGCCTGTAATCCTAGCTACTCAGGAGGCTGAGATCTGAGGGTCACAGTTCAAAGCCAGCCCAGGCAGGAAACTCTACGAGACTCTTATCTCTAATAAACCACCAGAAAACCAGAAGTGGCACTGTGGCTCAAGTGGTAGAACGCTCACCTTGAGCTGAAGAGCTGAGGGACAGCGTCCAGGCCCAGAGTCTCATAGACTTTCTAGCCTAGGCTGGCTTTGAACCACAATCCTCAGATTTTAGCTCCATGAGTACCTAGGATTACAGATGTGAGTCAGTGGTACCCAGTTAGAACAGTTTTTTTTAAAAGTGAAAGTAATTCCTCCCTTCTTCCCTTCCTCCCTCTATCCCCTCATTGTTTCCTTACTCACTTTTCTTTTTCTCTTCTCTTCCTCCCTTCCTTCTTCCTCTTTTTTTTTTTTTAAACAGGGTTTCATTTTGTAGCCTAGGCTGGCCTTGGACTTCTGCCTCAGCCTCTGAGTGCTGGGACTATGGACATATACCATCATACCTGGCAGCAAGATATTTCCTAAACACAATTCCTACTCATTTGGTCTGTCAGTCTGTCGGTCGTGGGGCTTGATCTCTGGGAAGGCTAGTGCTCTACCACTTGAGCTACAGCACCACTTCTAGTTTTCTGGTGGTTACTTGGAAATAAGAGTCTCACGGACTTTCCTGCCCAGGCAGGCTGGCTATGAACTGCGATCCTCAGATCTCAGCCTTCTGAATAGCTAGGATTACAGGTGTGATTCACCTGTGCCCTGATTGGTCTATTTTTTTTTAAAAAAATAAATAGTTTCAATAATGATTTCCAAATGTCTTTTTATGTGGCCATGATGTTTCTTCTGCCTGTGAACTTTCAAAGGCCATCAGTAAATGGCAGTGTTTGGTTTTGGTGGAGGTGTTGAAGGCGCAGCAAATGCAATTGATGCCGGTCACATCACACTTTCCAATAGGTATTTGTGGTTGTAAGCTCTCGCCATTTCGGTTCCCGAATTTATATTTCCTACCAGGATTTCAACTTGCTCGACTCTAAATCTATTCTCTTCTCAGCTGTCTTTCAACTTCCCTTATTTTGTCAGTGGTGCTTACTTAATTATTGCTTTGGGTTCTGGCTTAAAAATGTAAATAAACATTGACTTCTTCCTTTGACTATCCAGGAACCAGGCTATGGAATACATCCATCTTTGAAATGTTTCTCACATGTATTTTCCATTCTCATGGCTTGAATTTCCACTGCTGGGTCTGGCCCTCATTTTCTCATTTTCAGATGAATGGAGTAGCTTCCTAGGTCGTGTCCTTGCCAGTAGCCTTCATCTCTCCTCATTTCCCCAGGCCCACTCTTCCTTTCTCAGTTCCCTAACCCAAGCTCTATATTGCCATTCAGTATTACTAGCACCATGCCTATTTTGTTTTGTGTTCTACACCTAAGAGAGTCTATTGATCAGTAAAATGTTCATTGAGTTTCAAATTTCTGCTCTCCTGTTCTCTGGATTCTGCAGTGCATCTATTTTTAATACTTTAGAGAGTAAACTGCTTTGCCTGTCCTTTCCAGCAATCCATGATCTAGCCTCCCTCATTTCATCATTGCACCGAAAAGAAAGTCGATGATGAGATAATGATGATGATGATGATGATGATGATGATGATTTTGAGGAAGCTGAGGTTTTCTTTAGCATCCTTCCAAGATCTCCATCAGCCCGTCAAATCCACTCTAAATATGTATGCATTCTGCTGGGCTCCAGTGGCTCATGCCTGTAATCCGAGTTGCTTAGGAGTCTGAGATCTAAGGATTGCAATTGTAAGCCAGCCCAACCAGGAAAGTCCACAAGACTCTTTCTTACTCTTTCTTCTTTCTCTCTCTCTCTCTCTCTCTGTCAGGGCTTGAACTCTGGGCCTGGCCACTGTCCCTGAGCTCTTCAGCTCAAGGCAAGCGCTCTACCACTTGAGCCACAGCACCACTTCTGGTTTTCTGGTGGTGTATTGGAGATAAGAGTCTCACAGACGTTCCTGCCTAGGCTGGCTTAGAACCACAATCCTCAGATTTCAGCCTCCTGAATAGCTAGGATTACAGGGTGAGCCACTGGTGTGTGGCTGTCCATGAGACTCTTATGTCCAATAGGTAAGGACAAGAAAACGCTGAAAGTGGGAGAGTACCAACTTGAGCAAAGGAAGCTCAGGGACAGTAAGCTCCCAGGTCCTGAGTTCAAGCCCCAGGATTAGCACACAAAAAAGTAAATAAGTAATTAAGTAAGTAAATATAAAAATAAATATCTGATCTAAGTGAAGAAAAATTAGGCTTGCCTGGCTTGAAGATAAGCTCATTATATGCATAAATTGTTGAATTGAAACCCCTTTGTAACTTAAAAGATTTTAAAAAAAATACCCCTATAATAAAGACAAGCCCTCATTCTTACAACATCACATTGAACTGTGGCCTTTCCAGGGCCAACAGTGAACTTCAGGACCCTGCCCCCTCTCATGTGCTTATTCAGTTTCTCCCCCAAACCACCTGCCTTTCTTACTTCCTGCCCGCCTAGATATATGTGGCTAGAATTTACCTTGAATGCCTTTCTCCAGACCTCCTTCCATTTTTTTCAAAACCTAATTGACACTTTCTCTCCTCCATCTTAACAAATTATCTTTCACTAAGTTGCTCCGATATCTAGCCTATGTATTAAGTCACTGAATTTTTCTATCCGATCTTACAGTTTGCCTATGTGTGTCAGCAGCTTATTACTTTTTTTTAAAACAAGTCCTCCCCCCCCATTAATTCTAGCTTTTCATTCAAAATAGTTAGTATTCAAGTAGGTTCAGCATAAGTACTGTCCAAAGCTAAATACTTACACATTGGCTCATAGTTAAGAACATGCCAATAGCAAACTAATTTGAGGAAAGGAAGAAAAAGGAACAGCAGTCTTCAAAACTAAACAACAACAACAACAACAAAAACCCAGTCCGAAGCTATTCATGGTGAGAACAGGTCAGTTTGGGGCCTGGAATCCCTTTTGTCCCTGGTAACATGGCGTCCCAACTCAGCTCGGCCGTGGGTGATTTCTCACCTCTCTATCCAAGTAGGCATCAGCAACCCGCAGCAATTGGAAAAGATAGCCTTTCCAGCGATCTTTATTGATCAAGTCTAGCACTTTCTCTGCCACAGGCTCAGTGTCATTGCAGTTGATGGGATTCACAGCACATGAACACTGTAGTATGGTGAGAAGCAATGCTATGGTGAGCACCTTCATTGTGTTGCACCAAGCTAAGGACTATCATACCAGAGAATTTTATACAGATGTTCCTCAACACACACACACACACACACACACACACACACACACACACACACACATGCATACACACATGATATTGACAAAACAAAGTCTTTGTACATTTCTGTTTTGTAACTGGGTATGTTCACCTTGACCTCAGGTTCAAATATCCACCTTGTAGGCTGTCAATGATTAGTCAGCCCTGAGGACAAAAAGGTTAGACACACCGTTGGTGTGTGGGTGAAACCAGGATAGGTACAAATATGACTATTTCTATTAAGTGGCAGATCCAGAGTATGGTTTTGATCCTAGGCTGCCTATGGGGGCTGTAGTAATTTGCCCCTATCTGCCTATCTTGGTTGGAAATCTGGAGCACTCTTTGGATTATGACTCTAAAATTCCTCAATTGAATGTAACTGCATCATGTAAGAGATGTGACATGTCCAACAGTTAACATAAAAAGAATTGATTTCAGGTAGAATTGGATGATGAAAAGGCTGCAACCCTGCAGATATTTAATTTCTAATCCTAGATGTTACTTCTTTATTGCGTGATTGTTAGGTGTGGAGGAAAGTGCTGTCCTTAAGGAGTCAAGTTGGGAACAAAACACTAGTTAGTGTCAGGGAATGACGGAAGCAAAAATGAAACTTGAGGTATACTGGAATGAGGATACAGGGGACTACAAGTCTGTGTAGTATTCCCGCATGCAATTTGAACCATGCACCAAAGAAAACACATGCCATCAGCAAGAAAGAAGAATTAGCCAAGCCCCCAGTAACCCGTCCAATATAGCAGTAGTAAAACCCTCCTTTCTGATCTTGATTTCATACTGGAAGCGCTGCAAGATCTTTTAAAAATAAATTCTAGTAGCCAAGAAATGGTGTCTCACACCTGTAATACTACTCAGGAGGCTGAGATCTGAGGGTTAGCATATGAAGCCAGGCCAGGCAGAAAAATCTGAGAGATTCCTATCCCCAACAAACCAGCAAAAAGCCAGAAGTGGAGGTGTGGCTCTAATGGTAGAGCACCAGCCTTGATTAAAAACAAACCCAAGGAAGACTGAAAGGCCATGAGTTCAAGACCCAGTTCTGGCACAACAGCAGCGAAACAAAAATCCTGGTTTTGTGATGGAGCTATAACTTAGTGGTAGAGCATGTCTCATAGCACGTGCAAGGTACTGGGTTCAAGCCCCATCACTTAAAAAATTATGTGAAAAAAATCAATCTTGGTGGTTAAGACCCTGTAATTAAAATTAGAAAGTCTGGGAAGTGGACCTAGATATTAATATTGGTGATTTTAAAATACCTGAGCCTCTAGACAGAACTGAAGGAAGGGAAAGAAGGAAGGGAAAGGATTTGGAGAATGAAAAGATTGGCATTTCATATAATCTTTTCCAAAAGGCCCTGAAAGTATCTTATATTAAAGGTGGAAGAAAGTGGCTCACACCTGTAACCCTAGCTACTCAGGAGACTAAGATTTGCTGACTGCAGTTCAAAGTCAGCCTAGGCAAAAAAGTGTGTGAGACTATTTTTTTTCCACTCCTGGGGCTTGAACTCAGGGCCTGGGCACTGTCCCTGAGCTTCTTTTACTCAAGGCTAGCATTCTACCACTTCAGCACAGCACCACTTCTGGGTTTTTCTGTTTATGTGGTACTGAGAAATCAGCCCAGGGCTTCGTGCATGCTAGGCAAGCATTATACCACTAAGCCACATTCCCAGCCCACTTGTGAGATTTGTATCTCTAATTAACTACGAAAAAGAGTCAGAAGTGGAGTTGTGGTTCAAATGCAGGAGTACTATCCTTGGGCCATAAAGCTCAGGGATGATGACCAGGCCCTGAGTTAAAAAAAAAAAAAAGTAGAGGGGCTGGGAAGGTGGCTCAGTGGTAGAGTGCTTGCCTTGCATGCATGAGGCCCTGGGTTCGATTCCTCAGCACCACATAAGCAGAGAAAGCCGGAAGTGGGGCTGAGGCTCGCTGAAGAGCTGAGGGACAGCGCCCAGACCCAGAGTTCAGGCCCCTCGACCTACAAAAAGCAAAAACAAAAAGTAGAAGAAAGAAGCCAGATATTGGTGGCTCACACATGTAATCCTAGCAACCAGGAGACTGGGATTGGAGGATCACAACTGGAAACTAACCCTGACAGACAAATCCAAGAGACTCTTATTTTCAATTAATCCCTCCCCCCACCAAAAAAAAAAAAAGCTGGATGTGGAGGTGTGGCTCAAGCAAGGCATCAGCTTTGAGCAAAAGGAAAAGCTAAGGGAGAGAGCCTAGGCCCTGAATTTAAGCCCCAGAATCAACATGCACGCATACGCGCGCGCGCACACACACACACACACAGACACACACACACACACAGACACACACACACACAGACACACACACACACAGACACACACACACAGACAGAAACACATTAAAATAATACTTGAGATTGAAATATTAGAATCAGCAATGTTGGCTTCTAAACCCTTAAAGGGAATGATACCACCATATAAACTGCTTGTGCTATAAAATATTTACTCCTGGTAACAAGTGCTTTTCAAGTTGCTTTTGCTGAATAGCACTGACTACTTACTTGGGCTCAAGAATTAAGCAAAATAAGAGAAAAATCTTGCCATCCCAGCCTTGGTTTTGTATCTGTGTCCTTTGTTCTAAACCACCCACTTTGCCATCATCTTGGAATCCAGGAAAGGACAGGACTGATCAGTGACATTGTTCTGACAAGAAGCTGAAACTATCTCTAAGGAAGAGCAGATCGCTCCCTAAGTGAGGGTAAGTACCTGCAATGATGAGGCTGTTCCCTGGAGCAGGAGATGTCAGCCACAGCCACCAGATTGTTCCCTTAAAGTGATGACAGTGAAAACGTCTCCAGAATTTGGTAGTGACCAGCCAGCCGGGCCACATCTATAACTGGTGTTCATCATTCCTTCCAATTCCTTCCCCCAGTTCTTTGTCTATGTAAACCTCTAGCTCATGTCCATGCTCCAAAGATGGCTGAAAGTCTGCAGAAGATCTTTGCAGGGTAAGCCCATCCTATGTAATAAACCTCCTTTCTGCTCTCTTCACCATGGCTCTTTCTTTTTTTGGGGGGGGGGATCTGGTCGTGGGGCCTAAATTCTGGGCCTGGGCGCTGTTCCTCAGCGCTTCAGCTCAAGGCTAGTGCTCTACCACTTGAGACACAGCTCCACTTCCAGCTTTTTTCTTTTTGTTTATGTGGTGCTGAGGAATCAAACCCAGGGCCTCATGCATGCAAGGCAAGCGCTCTACCACTGAGCCACCTTCCCAGCCCCGACCATGGCTCTTTCTTTGACAGACCTGACGTAGAAGCCCCTGACTCAGGCCTGGAGTATAAAATTCCACTTTGATTCCCACTTCACTGGAAGACAAAAATATAGAAGGGCTGAGTTGACAATTTTTCTTTTCTTTTATTCTTTCTTTCTCTCTCTCTCTCTTTCTTTCTTTCTTTTTCTTCCTTTCCTACCTCCTTTCTTCATTCCTTCTTTCCTTCCTTCTTTTTCTTTCTCTCTTTTTCTTTCCTTCCTTCCTTCTTTCCTTTCCTTCCTTCCTTCCTTCTATCCTTCCTTTGTTTCTTCCTGTCCTTGTCCTAGGTCTCAAACTCAGGAACTGGTCACCAACCCTGAATATTTTTGCTCAAAGCTAGTGCTCTACTACTTGAACCAATGTTCTACTTTTGGTTTTTTGGTAGACAATTGGAGATAAGAGTCTCGTGGACTTTTCTGCTTGAAGTTGGTTTTGAACTGCAGTCTTCAGATCCCAGCTTCTTGAGTAGCTACAATTACAGTTGTGAGCTACAGGTGCTCAACTCTTTATTTAAACTGAACACTCCTGTTAGAATCCCAAAGATGAAATGAAATGCTTACTTTCCCTCTTCCTGGGTACATCTGCTATGTTAATAAATCTACTTCCTCTGATCTTCTTTGACAGGTGTATTGGGGCAAGTGGTGGAACCCAGCATATTGGAATCCGCAGAGTCAGGCCTTTGGCCTAGGATTATGGTTAGGGCAACTCAGAATGACCATGGACTATGCCCCAGATATTGTTAAAAGGCTCCAAACCCAAAAGACAGGGAGGAAAACTATTGATTAAAACAAAACTTGTTTGATGTTCCAATGAACTGAACTCTTAAGCCTTCGAATTACTGCTATATTGGTTGCACACAATATAGAGTGCCTGGTGAACCAAAGATAGGTGGAGGGATTAGAATACTAGGGTGTGGGAGGATGAGGTGTCAAAGTTGAGAATACATTTTTCCTACAGTACTTTTTTTTTCCCTCTGAGACTTAGATTTCTTTTTTTCTTTTTTTTTGGTCGGTGGTGGGACTTGAACTCTGGGCCTGGGCGCTGTCCCTCAGCTCTTCAGCTCAAGGCGAGCGCTCTACCACTTGAGCTACAGCGCCACTTCCGGTTTTCTGGTGGTTTATTGGAGATAGGAGTCTCACAGTCTCTCCTGCCCGGGCTGGCTTTGAACCGCGATCCTCAGATCTCAGCCTCCTGAGTAGCTAGGATTACAGGCATGAGCCACCAGCGCCTGGCAAGACTTAGATTTCTTATTTTTTTTTTTTGCTGAGCATGGGGCCTGAACTCTGGGCCTGGACGCTGTCCCTCAGCTTTTCAGCTCAAGGCTAGTGCTCTACCACTTAAGCCATAAGCCACAGCACCACTTCCGGCTTTTTCTGCTTATGTGGTGCTGAGGAATCGAACCCAGGGCCTCATGCATGCGAGGCAAGCGCTCTACCACTGAGCCACCTTCCCAGCCCTCCTCTGAGACTTAGAAGTGTGTATAGAAGCCAGGCATCCTCTTACCTTTACTATCTTGACACACACCCATGTATTTTTGAATAAGTAAAGTAATGAAATACAATAAATGCTTTTAAAGAATAAAGGAACAAAAATCTTGAATGACATAACATTCTATCAACTGACCCAGTGAATTTCAATGAAATAATTAAAGACTTATAAGGGTATCTTTTGTAACATTATGGATAAAAACAGTACCGGGCTCAAATTTGGGGCCTGGGTACTGCCCCTTAGCTACTTCACTTGAGGCTGGCATTCTACCACTTGATCCATAGTTCTACATCCAGCTTTTTAGTGGTTAATTTGAGATAAGATTCTCACAGACTTTCCCAACTGTACTGGCTTTGAACCTTGATCCTTAGATCTCAGCCTCCTGAGTAGCTCAGATTACAGGTATGAGCCACCAGAGCTCAGCAGAATATACATACATACATATACATATATATATATATATATATACACACACACATACATATTATAGCTATTTTAGAAGCAGGGAAAACTTGAGTGGGAAGAAACAGCAAGTTCTTAGGTACTTCTTACCTATTCCTTTCCTATTCATAGCCTTCCCCACTATAAATATTTGAACCTGAAAAGGTACATTTGTTATAAATGATCAACTTACAATGACACATCATTATCATCCGAAGTTCATAGTGTACATTACACTCTTCTCCCATGAGCGAACACTCTATGGGTTTTGACAATGTTGTAATAACATGTGTCCACCATTATAACATTATAAAATACCCTCTGAGCTCCACCTACTAATCCTTCCCCCTTTCCAATCCCTGGCAACCACAGATGTTCTTACAGTCTTCATAAATGTGCCTTTTCTAAAATACCCTACAGTGGGATTTAAGCAAACATCAAGTATTTCTGGATCAGGATTGAACGTTTTCATGGAAACAACTTCTCTCTGAGGATTAGAATAAGGTTTCTTTGGGACACTGAAATCAATGTCTCAAAGGCTTGGGCCATCCAAGCTGGTAGTTCACTGTTTCTGAATATGTCTTCCTTTTTTTGTGTGTACTAGTCCTGGGACTTGAACTCAGGAGATCTAGGATCTATCCTTGAGCTTTTATGTTCATGACTAGCGCTCTACCATTTGAGCACACAGCACTACTTCTGGCTTTTGGGTGGTTAATTGGAGAATAAGAATCTCACAGATTCTCTTGCCCAGTCTGGTTTCAAACCACAACCCTCAGTTAGGATTACAGGTATGAGCCACAGATGCCTCCTGGTTTCCCACACTTTTTTTTTTTTTGCACTGGTTATTTTTTAAATTAGGTCTCTTGTTTCCTGTCCAGGCACATGTCTACACCACAATCCTATTATTTTTCACTTTCCATTGTAGCTGGGATTACAGGTATGTATCACCACACCCAGCTTCTTCTGTTGAGATGGAGTCTCAGAGTTTTCTCCCCAATCTGGTTTTATGACCAGAATCTTAACTTCATATATAGCTAGGTTGACAGGTGTGTACTTCTGTGTCCAGCTATTGGTTGAGAAGAAATCTTGTGTGTATGATTGGACAGTCCTCAAACTGCTATCCTTCTGATCTCAGTTTCTCAAATAGCTAGGATTATATGCATGATCCACTACCACCCAGCACCACATAGGATTTTTTAAATTTTGTTTTTGCTGGCTGTGGGGCTTGAACTCAGGGCCTGGGCACTGTCTCTGAGCTCTTTTACTGAAGGCTAGTGCTCTATCACTTTCAGCCACTGCTCCACTTCCAGTTTTTGAGTGGTAAATTGGAGATAAGAGTTCTGCCCAAACTGGCTTCAAACCAGAATCCTCAGATCTGTCTCCTGAGTAGTTCAGGATTACAGGTGTGAGCCACCGGCACCCAGAACCATATAGTTTTTAAATATTGGAAAAAGGACACTAGGAGCCAGGAGTTGGTGGCTCACACCTGTAATCCCAGCTACTCAGGAGGCTAAGATCTGAGGATTATGGTACAAAGCTAGCTCAGATAGAAAAGCCAATGATTAACTACAGAAAAGCTAGAAATAGAACTGTGGCTCAAGTGGTAAAGAGCTAGCCTTGAGTAAAAGATTGAAGGACAGATCCCAGGCCCAGAGTTCAAGCCCAGAACTAGAAAACACACAAACATAAAGACTATTATCGAGCGTCATGTTCTAAGCCTGGCAGACACTATGGGCACACTTCGCTTCTATGTGACCTCATTTTAGTGAGTGACCCAACTATAGAGATATCTAGGCTAATGAAAAGAGGTCAAGGGCTGAAAATAGCATGGGCAATATCGAGCTAGACTTGACCTTGTAGGCAAAGGTGAGGTCGTGAAGGCAACTCTACTGAGCTTCAATTTCTTCCATCTCTTAGGGAAATTCCTTTGGGCAGCTTATGTCTAAAGAGCTGAGCATAAACAGGATGACTATCTTAATAAACCCTTGCTTGGGAGTGCACATGTTGGTAGGTGGGTATACAGTGTAGCCCACATTGGGGATTTTAGTCTCATTATGCCCATTCCCAACAACACATTGAAGCCAAGAAGAGTCAAAAGGACATACTTTATTAGCTATTGTCTACATTTGAACCTCTCTCTCTGTCCCATTCCTACCACCACTCATCTTGTACAAGAAATCACACCCACATGGTACACTCTCTGTGATTCTCAGGGCGGGAGAATAAGAGGACTGGGATGATTGGCAGGCGATGGGCACTGTGTAGAGTGCTGTTTTTTTGTGGGGAAAGGCAGCACACGCAGCTTCTTTTCCTCAGGCCCCATGAAGAGGAAAGACACATCCACGGTTGTTCCCTGGGGATCTGTGGTCAGGTCCAACTGCACGGGGAAGGCTTCCTGAGGATCTTTCTCCTGAGGATCTTTGGCCTTTTCATCATCCAAGTCAGGGAGGTGCTGGACAGAGCCCCTTGGTATGGGGAAACTGGAAAGCTTTTTCTTAGATGGGTCCTCTGTCTCAGGGAGGATTGGGGGTCCCTGGGTAGCCTCAGTATTTTCACTTCCTGGAACCTGAACCAGAAATTAAAAAAAAATTAATGAATTTTCTAGGGAAAGCCCTGACAGGTACCAGGCTCAAGCTGTTTTATTCCTTTCTGGTAGAATCTTATACAGTAAAACCAGCTAAAAGGAGGCTGGGAATGTGGCTTAGTGATAGAATGCTTGCCTTTATGCCTGCCTAGCATGCATAAAGCCCTGGGCTCGATTCCTCAGCACCACATAAATAGAAAAAGCCAGAAATGGCGCTGTGGCTCAAGTTGTAGAGTGTTGGTTTTGAGTAAAAGAAGCTCAGGGACAGTGCCCAGGCTCTAAGTTCAAGTCCCAGGATTGGCAAAAAAAAAACCCAGCTAAGAGGACGGGGCTCCTGGTTCAAGGGGGAAAGTAAATACAGATAAGGACCAGAGAAGACTTAGACTTATAAAAGCTTGGCTTCAAGTCTCACAATTTCAGAGCTGAAAATGATCCGAAGAGTCTTGATGAAGTGTCTCTGTTCCCAGTAGTAGCAGCAGGTGGCATGCAGCAGGTGGTATCTTTTATTATTATTATATTATCTACTTTTAAATTAATTAATTATGCATCTACTAGGCTTGAATTCCTGGCCTCTGACTGTCCCTTGCATTTTGGCTCAAGGCTGAAACTCTACTATTTAAGTCACACTTCTACTTCTATCTTTCTATTGGATGACTGGAAATGAGTCTCTCAGATGGGTGTTGGTGTCTCATACCTGTAATCTACTCAGAAGATCCAGATCTGAAGACCACAGTTCAAAGCCAGCCTGGCCAAGAAAGTCTATGAGACTCTGATCTCCAATTAAACCAGCAAAAAGCCAGAGGTGGAGGTGTGGCTCAAGTGGCAACATGCCAGCCTTGAGCAAAGAAAGCTAAGGGACAGCCCCCAGGCTTTGAATTAAAGCCCTAGTACTGGAACAACAAAAACACTCTGGGATTTGTCTGCTCAGGCTGGCTTTGAATCATGATTTCAGCCTCTTGAGTAGTAGCTAGGAATTGCAAGCATTTGTCACTCCTACCTGGCACTTTTCACTGTTTATTCTGTATTGAACCTTGCATGGCACACTCATTTAGCTGCTCTTAGTTTCTTTTGGGGAACTGAGTGAGGTCAGAGAACTCACAGGTGCAGAGCAGGACCGGAAGCAAAGCAGCCTGTACCAGGCTGACTAATATGGGATGCTTAGTAACTTCCATGATAGGGGAACTGAATGTTTTTTTGGTTCTTTGTTTTTTTGTTAGTCGTGAGGCTTGAACACTGGGCTTGGGGGTTGTCCCTCAGCTCTTCAGCTCAAGGCGAGAGCTCTACCACTTGAGCCACAGCACCACTTCTGGTTTTCTAGTAGTTTATTGGAGATAAGAGTCTCACAGACTTTCCTGCCCAGGCTGGCTTTGAACTGCAATCCTCAGATCTCAGCCTCCTGAGTAGCTAGAATTACAGGCCTGAGCCACCACAGCCAGCACTGGAATGTTTTCATAGAAGTGACTTCTCCTGAGGCTGGGAGTAAGACTTCTTTGGGACACTGAATTTCATGTCTCAGAAGCTTGGGCCATCCAAGCTGGTTGTTCATTGTTTCTGTAATCTTAAGCCATATTGTAATTAAAGTATGGCAGGGCTCTAGTCAGCTACCATGAATGAGTGTGACTAGCTCCAACCAGTAGATGTCCCCTTCGGATAGTTTGAATAAAGTGAGGATCTTGGATCTCAAAAGAGGCTGGTGGGTCATGGTGGGTATATACAAATACAATGCTCTTTTCTTTCACAAAGGACAATTAGATTGAAGAAAATACCTGTGATTCAAAGAAGTCACAAGATACAGTAACAAACTTATCTTCTTGTGTTTTAGTCAGAGAACCTTCGCAAAGACCAACAGACTGAAAATAAAGAAAAATACAAGGTCATGTCAGTGTTAAGATTACCATAAGCGGAAATCAGCTCACTTTCTGCTTCCATTGGCACAGAACCAATCAACATTTTTAAGTTGTTGTTTATGATAGACAGGCTCTGGTCCATTCCCTGCAAATCATCTCTACCAAGAAATCATACAAACTAGGCTAAATTGCCTCCAGTAATAGAAAACTCCCTATATCTTGAGGACCAAAACTCAACTATTAGAAATGTATTTACATTGAGCAGAAACCAGTATCTATATAACTTCTACCTGTTGGCTTTAGTTCTATTCTTCTGTCAATTTGAAAACCTGTTTTTGTCTTTTTTTTTTAAATAGCATCCATTCCAAGTATTTTCCACTTGAATTTTTTCTTCTTAGACAAAATAACTGTTTCATCACCTTACTGTTATTTTAATATAAAATAAAGATTTTCTTATTACAAATGTAATAAATAGTTCTTTATTTAATATTTAAACAAGAGGAAGATAAAACAATCTGGAATTGATAGAAGACAGTTATTATTTATAATAATTCATTTTCTTCTAATGATTTTCCTGTGTACATATTGTTTTCTAAACATTGGAGCATATTATTATATATCTATTATGTTACTAAGCAATATATTGAGCAAATTCTCTTGGATAGGCTTCTATAATTATCTTCATAATAGCTTCCTAGTAGTGTTTTGTATTATTTGTGTGGTGTGAGTGTGTGTGTTTGTATGTGTGTGTTTGTATGTGTGTATGTGTATGTGACAGTCTGGAGGTTTGAACTCAGAGTCTGGATGCTATCCCAGAGCTTTTGTGCCAAGCATAGCACTCTGCCATGTGAGCAACAGCTCCACTTGTAGCTTTTTGGTGGAGATAAGAGTCTGGGTTTTAGGGGCTGGGAAGGTGGCTCAGTGGTAGAGCGCTTGCCTTGCATCCATGAGGCCCTGGGTTCGATTACTCAGTACCACATAAGCAAAAAGAAAAAAGCTGGAAGTGGCGCTGCGGCTCAAGTGGTAGAGCGCTAGCCTTGAGCTGAAGAGCTGAGGGACAGCGCCCAGGCCCAGAGTTCAGGCCCCACAACTGGACCCCCCCCCAAAAAAAAAGAGTCTGGGTTTTTCTCCCCAGCCTGGCTTGAAACCATGATAATCAGATCTTGGCCTCTTGAGTACTTAGAATTATAGGCATGAGCCACCAACACCTAGCTTTGCTCCTTATTATTTTATAAGCTGTTTTTTGGTTAAACAACTAAAGTGAATCTGATTTTTTTTCTTTATTTGTGGGTCTTATGGTTAAAGTCCATGAATTATAATACAGTACATAAATTATATGTTAGTAAAGCAGTTACTGTCAATAAATGAGAAATATTTCTGGTACCTTTTGCCCATTGTGCCATAATACATTGTAGCCATTTACATTCCCACTAGGTGTTCTTAAAGTGACCCTCTCATTATGGATGTTATTATGGAGCTGCTATTTGACTGTTTCTCGTGTAAAAAGTGGTTCAAGGAATGGAACACCATGTTAATGGTCTCTTCTTTCTTTTTTTCTTTCCTTCCTCCCTTCCTTCTTTCTTTCTTTTTCTCTCTCTCTCTTCCTTCCTTCCTTCTTTCCTTTGTTCCCCGCCCTCTCTTTCTACTATAGTGCATTTCAAATGTAACCCAATCCAAGTAGGATCAGCATCAACCATGAGGAGATTCATCTACATTTTACCATTTTTTTGTAGTTGCATCATGTTGCTAATGTATAGTTATGGTTGAATAAGTGTTTTTGTCATCGCATCTGGGTCTGCATAATTTTTTTATTTTTTATTTTTTTTAATTTTATTTTATTTGTGAACATACTGTACAGAGGAGTTACAATTACATGGGCAGGATAATGCGTACATTTCTTACCAAGCATTGCAGCCTCCTCCTTTGTTTACCCTTCACATCCCTTCCCAGCCTCCCCCCTCCCCCCAGTTTTTTTTTATTTTTAAATTTTATGCCAGCAATAGGGCTTGAACTCAGTGGTTGGGCACCATTCCTTAACTTTTCATGCAAGGTTGGTGCTCTACCGCTTGAGCCACAGTTCCACTTCTGACTTTTTGCTAGTTAATTGGAGAGAAGAGTTATATGGACTTTTCTTCCCGGGCTGGCTTCAAAGCTCAATGACCACATCCCATATTAGCTAGAATTGCATCCATGAAGCCACTGGCCCCCATCTTTGGGTATGTCTAATTTCTAAATAGGTAATTACTTCTTGAGGGGAAGAGGAGTATCTCATACTTTCTATAATTTGTGTTCAACACATTTAGTGATCATCTAAATTATGACAATAAGCAAGAATATTCAAATGTACTCACCACAGAGTTTAGAGATTGCAGTGAGCAGCTCTCCTGGGACTTGGTACATGGTGACTCCTGGATTAAATATTCCACAAAGTAAGCAGGGCCAACCACCCACTGTCATGAGATAGGGTTGAGATGTTAAAGTCAAGCCTTTTACTTGGCAGCATTAGATTTACAGAAACAATTCCAATGCCCAGACACAGTGTTACCATACAAACATATTAACCCACAAGATACAAATCCACTGTCCCTGCAAGACCCCACAGGAGTCCAACATGCCCCATGATTTGTGTATTTAGAAAACACAATCACTACACCTTCATTGAATTCTTAAATTCTAAACATTTTCCCTTAGTGGGTGAGCTTATTTTTCTTCATAAATAGCTGTCTTTTAGTGTATGTAAATACATGCTCTATATACAAGAGAGAAAATATATATTATATGAGAGATAGCAACATAATCCAAAATATGAATGAGTCTCTATTATCTCTAACCCAGAAAATTCAGTACCTGCCCCAGGCCTTAACATGGAATAAAAGTCATCTTGCTAAGTCAGATCTGAGCACATAGCAGTAAATAGTGAACCTACACAGACCCCTCTATTGAAGACAATGAATCCATTTTACATCTTGACTTAACACCAATGAAGTAAAATCAGGTCATGGGATATGCACAGACGTGCCATGGGATAACAAAGATGAAAACATGACTGAGTGTCCAACAGATTACCAGAGGAGGAAATATAGAGAAAGGTTCTGGAGTTCTTAAGAAATGGAGAACCAGGATATTTTCTGCTGACCTTAGGAAATTATAGCAACAGTGATGAGATCCATTGTTTGTATCACTGACCTGGTCATTTTAGCCTTACCTGGCTAGAGGCCTTGGTGATTTTTACGAGAGAGTACTGCTTCGAGGGACTCTCACTGTTGAATTTTGCAAGAGACTCAGTCACAGCTTCCAGAACCTCGGGGTCTGACAAGTTGGTGGGGCTGGGGCAATCAGGGCACATAGTATGAATCTTTCTCCGAGAAACTGTTGATGCCAACAAGAGGAATTTATTTTCATGAGTCATGAAAATAACAGAGGCCAAGACTGAACAAACTAGATACTATTCAGTGTTAGTGAGGATGGAGTGGGAAAGATCTTTTCAGGGATGAAGATGTGCCTCACAGAGTAAGGCACTTGTCTAAGAAGCATAAGGCCTGAGTTCAAAATCTAGTACTACCAAAAGAAATATTTTTTTTGAGTCCAGTCGGGGGGGGGGCCTAAACTCTGGGCCTGCATGCTGTCCCTCAGCTCTTCAGCTCAAGGCTAGCGCTCTACCACTTGAGCCACAGTGCCACTTCCGACTTTTTTCTTTTTGCTTATGTGGTGCTGAGGAATCAAACCAGGGCCTCAGGCATGCAAGGCAAGCACTCTACCACTGAGCCACCTTCCCAGCCCCAGCCAAAAGAAATATTTAAAAAAAAAAAAAAACAAGAGAAAGACAAGCTGGGCATGGGTAGCTCATTCTTATAATCCTAGCTACTCAGGAGGCTGAGATCTGAGGATTATGGTTTGAAGCCAGTTCTGGCAGAAAAGTTCATGAAACTCTAATCTCTTAATTAACCACAAAAAAAAAATCCAGAAGTAGAACTGTAGCTCAAGTGCCAGCCTTGAGTGATAAAGCTAAGGAACAGTATCCAGGCCCCCCCCAACATACCCACACATATAACAATAATAATAATAATAAAAGGAGAAAAATATTTTCTGGAACAGAATCTCTTGGCAATGAGTATTCTCTAATGAGCATTATTTCTTTCATAATAACAAAAGAAATCAAAGCAAGACAGATTTCACCTACCGCAAATGTATATATTCTAGAAATTTTGTTTTAACATGCATAATACCGTATAATCTGACACACCTCCTTCCCAGTTCAGTGTAATTTCTCACCATTGCCTCTATATACTGGGTGCCTTTGAAAAGTTGGGACTTCATTGTTGCCATGTCTTATTTGTTAGTTGGTGCTTAAAACATACCATAACTTTAAACACATAATGTTCAGTAAATGCTTATAGAATAAGAAGATGATAAAAAAAATGAAGGTAGAAGCCTTTCCCTTTGGTTAGAAAATACAGGTGAGACAGAACCAAATTGGTTGAACCACTGTGACTAGAAAGAATGATCACATTGATGAATAGCCATAGTGTCTGGGAAGAGCTGGAGATGGAAGATAATTTGCTAGTATATCAGGCTACGGATTTTACCTGTAAGCTTTTCACAGGAAAGCTCATTGTTCAAGCTGGGCACAGGTAGCTCATACCTGTAATCCTATCTACTCAAGAGGCTGAGATCTGAGGATCACAGTTCAAAGCCAGTTTGAGTAGGAAAATTTGTGAGCCTGTTATCTCCAAAAAGCCAAGAGTAGAGCTGTGGCTCAAGTGGTAGATCACTAGCCTTGAGCAAAAAAAAAAAAAAAGCTCAGAAACAATGCCCTGGCCTTGGGTCAAGCCCCAAGACTGGCACAGGAAGAAAGGAAGGAAAGTAGGAAGGAAGGGAAAGGAAAGAAAAGGATTATATATTGGCGGTATATTGGGAGACTATGAAAGATTATGAAGAGTTAGATCCACAGCTTGTCATTGCTGCATTATCACCCATCATTTCCTGACTCTCATAGCTCTGATAACTATGACCATCATACAAGTACTGAGACTGTAAGTTGTTCTCTAATTCATTTTAAGTTAGTCTTCTCTTCAAAGCCAGGAACCTTCAGCTGTGGCTAATGAAAGGTTTGCTCTTTTGCCTTAGCAAGGAAACCAGCTGCATCATTATCACCCGGAGCTGGGTAAAAATGCAGAATCTCAGGCCCTGCCAAGCATACAGAATCAGAATGTGCATTTTAATAAGATCTGAAAGGAATCTCTCTCTTTCTCTCTGTCACACATACCCATAGACATACACACACACACACACACACACACACACATACACACACACACACACACACACACACACACACACAGAGGTTTG